GAGTCCACTATATTAACATACGCAGCTCTCAAAACATAGCTTACTGAAAACAAGCAATTTGCAAAAATATGAATATTTATACTTTTTTTAAAATCACATGTTCAATGAAGATATATTGGAGAACTTTAGCTTCGTCTATAAGGGCCTACTCTTTTCTCATGAAGGAGGATCTATATATGCATTCCTCAAGTAATTAAAAATAATTACATGACAAAAACTAGGCAATTATCTAAACAGGCCATTCACAAAAGAATTACAAGTGAACAAAAAGCATATAAAAAGATGTTTACCAACTAGTACCCCAATAAATGCAGACTTAAAAAAAATGCAGGCTGGGCATGGTGGCTCATGTCTGTAATCCCAGCACTTTGGGAGGCCGAGGTAGGTGGATCACCTGAGGTCAGGAGTTCGAGACCAGCCTTCCCAACATGGTAAAAACAGAAATTATCTGGGTGTGGTAGCAGGCACCTGTAATCCCAGCTACTTGGGAGGCCGAGGCAGGAGAATCACTTGAACCCAGGAGACGGAGGTTGCAGTGAGCGGAGACTGCACCACTGCACTCCAGCCTGGGTGACAAGAGCAAAACTCCAACTCAAAAAGAAAAACGATAATAAAATGCAGGCTGAGTATCCCTTAACCAAAATAGTTTCAGAGTTCAAATGTTTTCAGGTTTTGGAATATTTGCAGAAATACACTGGTTAAGCACTCCTACGTGAAATCCAAAATTTGAAATGCCCAGTGGAGCATTTCCTTTAAGCATCATGATGGCACTGAGAAATTCAGGATTTCGAAGCATTTTGAACTCCAGATTTTCAGACTAGGGATGCTCAACCTGTAAGTAACCTGAGATCAAATAAAACTCTCTTAAGGACAATGAACACCCAACTTTTAGGATCAGACACAGAAGGAGTCAAAAGGATGCATTCCAAAAAGACTTATTATGGGTAGGCAAAACCAAGGAAGGAGGAGCTTATTGCAGTGCTAGGGCCTACAGTTACAGAGGACAGGGATAGTGTCACAATCATCTGCACATTTTCTGAGGCCAGTGGTGTCTGGATCAATACATTTGCTTATTAATTCTGTATATAAGTGTGTGCTCTTTTTTTTCATTCTTTCCTTCCACATTTTCTACTCCCATATCACCATCCCCAATTAGAATTTTCAAAGCAAACAGGACTCAGTCTTGAATTGATGACAGTAAAGTAGTGTTTCCACACTTGGTCCAACTACTAATATACAGATACTACTGACATACAGATTCTAGGACCCCATCCCACAGCTACAGAATCTTAATCTCTAGGGAAGGAGTTTGGGAATTTCTAAGTTTAACAGTCATCTTTAGTGATGAATACAACCTGGTAAGTTTTGGAAAGAATGCATAGAAGTAAATTTAATCCCAAGGAGCTAGTTTACTCCTAAAGAATCTCCAGATGGTAGAAATGTATGAGATAAGAAATTCCTATCTTATCTTAATAGTAAATCTTCATGGCTATGTGACCTTAAATGAGTTACTTAAACTTGCTAAATCTCAAGTTTCTTCATTTATAAAAAGGAGAATACTCTTCCTTATGACAAAATGAGATTGCAAGAATAAAACTATATATGTTAGGCCAGGCGCAGTGGCTCACGCCTATAAACCCAGCACTTTGGGAGGCCGAGGCGGGTGGATCACAAGGTCAAGAGATCAAGACCATCCTGGTCAATGAGGTGAAACCCCGTCTCTACTAAAAATACAAAAATCGGCTGGGCATGGTGGTGCGCGCCTGTAGTCCCAGCTACTCAGGAGGCTGAGGCAGGAGAATTGCTTGAACCCAGAAGGTGTAGGTTGCGGTGAGCCGAGATCATGCCATTGCACTCCAGCCTGGGTAACAAGAGCGAAACTCCATCTCAAAAAAAAAAAACTATATATGTTGGCATTTATTAAATATTAGTTTCTTTCCTTCTCTACTCTAAGAAATTTTTTTTTTTTTTTGAAATGCAGTTTCGCTCATTTGCCAGGGTAGCATGCAGTGGCACAATCTCGGGTCACTGCAGCCTCCGCCTTCCTGGGTTCAAGCAGTTCTCCTGCCTCAGCCTCCCAGGGGATTACAGGTGCCCACCACCACACACAGCTAATTTTCTGTATTTTTAGTAGAGACAGCATTTCACCATGTTGGCCAGGCTGGTCTCGAACTCCTGACCTCAGGTGATCCGCTCACCTTGGCCTCCCAAACTGCTGGGATTACAGTAATAAGACACCAGCCCAGCAAGAAATTATTCTTTAGGGTACTGTAAAGGCTGAAATGTTTATTTCAAGAAAAAAAGGATGCTCGCCGGGTGTGGTGGCTCACATCTGTAATCCCAGCACTTTGGGAGGCCGAGGCGGGTGGATTACCTGAGGTAGGAGTTCGAGACTAGTCTGACCAACATGGTGAAACCCCTGTCTCAAAAAAAAAAAGAAAAAAAAGAGGAAAATTTCTTGATTAAAATATGAGACACTGACCTTATAAACTGAGCAATTCTTGGCCTATAATTTTATTACATCACATCAAATTTGTTTAGAAAGTTTTATCATCCGGTTCTACACCCCTTTTTTTTTTTGAGATGGAGTTTCGCTCTGTCCCTCAGGCTGGAGGAGTGCAGTGGTGAGATCTTGGCTCACCGTGACCTCCACCTCCCAGGTTCAAGCGATTCTCCTGTCTTTATCTCCTGAATAGCTGGGATGACAGATGTATGCAGACAAGGTTTCACCATGTTGGGTAGGCTGGTCTCAAACTCCTGACCTCAAGTCATCCGCCTGCCTCAGCCTCCTGAAGTCCTGTGATTACTGGCATGAGCCACTGTGCCAGGACCACTTTCATTTTATGTGTGATTCAAATTAAATTTTGTTCAGAGCCCCTAATATTCCAGCTATGTGATGGAGCTACTTTAAGTCTTTCCAGTACCTATAAACATACTATGGCCAGGCACAGTGGCTCACACGTGTAATCCCAGCACTTTGGGAGGTCGAGGAGGGCGGATCATGAGGGCAAGAGATTGAGACCATCTTGGCCAACATGGTGAAACCCTGTCTCTACTAAAAATACAAAAATCAGCGGGGCATGGTGGCACACACCTGTAATCCCAGCTATTCAGGAGGCTGAGGCAAAGGTTGTAGTGAGTCGAGATTGCACCACTGCACTCTAGCCTGGTAACAGAGTTAAGACTCCGCCTCAAAATAAACAAACAAAAAACCAAAAAACTATATCTAGTACCTTTTCATATGGTAGCCAATTACTATTCATGGTAAATGTGAAATTGTAATCAAAGTCTCAAAATAAGGGTCAGGAAAGAGAGAATACTCTCTAGCCAACCATCAGACACTGAATTCTTACAATCATGAAGCTTTCTACAACTGGATTATACAGAAAGGATGACATGGTGGTACAATTAATTACCATCAACTCTAGATCATTTAAGTAATGAGTTTTTTGATTATTTGATTCATTAATGAAAATATCTGTAATAGCATCTTTGCATTTCAGAGTTACCAACACTAATGGCAAAAGTAGAATAGCTGATTTTTTCCTTCTTTTCTTTTTTTGAGACAGGCTCTTTCCTTGCCACTGAGGCCGGAGTTCAATGGCTGGCTCACTGAAGACTCACCTCCCAGGCTTAAGCAATCCTCCTACCTCAGTCCCCCGAGTAGCTGTGACTTTAGCCATGCGCCATCATGCCTGGCTAATTTTTGTATCTTTTATACATATGGGGTTTTGCCATGTTGCTCTGGCTGGTTCTGAACCTCTGGGCTCAAGAAATCTGCCTACCTCAGCCTCCAAAAGTGCTGGGATTACAGGTGTGAGTCACTGTACCCAGCCCTGATTTCTTCCTTCTCTGAGTGTCTGAATCATTAATAATTACCAGATGGTTCCCAGAATTGAGGGCTTACCACCTTTGGTAAGTATTAAGGGAAATTACCTTAATATTTGAATGACTGGCCTTCCCAGCCATGTGAGATACTCAATATGTATTCGAAGAATGTAGTAATAAATACAGAATAAATAAGTCTTGGTTCTCCTATAGCCTAACAGTCACATCCAGAAATTGACAAAATCTAAATGTGAAATAAACACAAGCAAAATAAAGCAGCAAATATTTTTCTTAAATTGTCTTTTATACAACAGTGCAAAGTATTACCAGTCCTGAGGATTTTCTAGTATATGGTGAACTTAAGACAGGATCAGGTAAACTCATACAATTTATATATAATTTATATACCAAAGAAAGTTACACAAATTTATATATTTTATATAATTCACATTTCTACACAATTAATATAATTTATAGTGTGTGTGTGTGTGTTTTCTTTTTGAGACAGGTTCTCTGTCACCCAGGATGGAGTACAGTAGCAAGATCACGGCTCACTGCAGCCTCAACCTTCTTAAGAGAAGTAGCTAGGATCACAGGTATGCACCACCATAACTAGCTTTTTTTTTTTTTTTTTTTTTTTGGCAGAGTCAGGTGTCTCAACATGTTGCCCAGACAGGTCTTGAACTTCTAGGCTTAAGAGATCCTCCCATCTCCACCTCCCAAAGTGCTGAGATTACAGGCATGAGCCATTTGCGCCTGGCCTATATTTATAAATTTTACATAATTGGGCCAGGTACGGTGCCTCACAGCTGTAATCCTGGCACTTTCAGAGGCCAAGGCAGGCGCATCACCTGAGGTTGAGAGTTTGAGACTAACCAGACCAACACAGAGAAAATCTATCTCTACTAAACACTGAAAACTTAGCCGGGCGTGGTGGCTCATGCCTGTAATTCCAGCTACTCAGGAGGCTGAGGCAGGAGAATCACTCGAACCCAGGAGGTGGAAGCTGCAGTGAACTGAGATCGCGCCATTGCACTCCAGCTTGGGCAACAAAAGTGAAATTCTGTCCCAAAATAATAAATATGTAAATAAATTTTACATAATTTACATATTTCTATACATTTAATAATTTATAGAAAATGTAGGGAAAAAACAGAAGACGTAATACTTACACACAAAGGTCTCTACATGTGTGCACAAGTCACCACATTTAGGACAGCGAAGCTGGTTTCCACCTTTCCCAGAATTCCCAGAGCCTGATTTCTTACTACTTCCCTCACTTGCTGATTTCTAATTTTTATGAAGGAGAAAAAAGGAAGAGTTTCAATTACTAGTTTCAGGCAACCAACTTAAATATAAACAATACTGTTTGTGGCCGGGCGCGGTGGCTCAAGCCTGTAATCCCAGCACTTTGGGAGGCCGAGGCGGGTGGATCACGAGGTCAACAGATCGAGACCATCTTGGTCAACATGGTGAAACCCCGTCTCTACTAAAATTACAAAAAATTAGCTGGGCACGGTGGCATGTGCCTGTAATCCCAGCCACTCAGGAGGCTGAGGCAGGAGAATTGCCTGAACCCAGGAGGCAGAGACTGCGGTGAGCCGAGATGGCGCCATTGCACTCTAGACTGGGTAACAAGAGCGAAACTCCGTCTCAAAAAATAAAAAAATAAAAATAAAAATAAAAAAAAAATAAAATAAAATAAAAATAAAAAAAAAAAACAATACTGTTTGTAACTAATGTTATAATTTTCTAAATTTCTAGAATGAAATTATTAGTATAGTTTGTAATTCTACTATTACTGGTGTCAGAAGATCTATTCACTTCAAAAGGCAAATCAGTTCTAGTAAATACATGTAAATCTGTAGTCCTCCTTTATATGACACGTGCCAACATGTAAAATGAATAGCTTTCATTCAATGACTCAATAGGCACTAGAAAAGTTACTAAGCTTAAAAACTACATTTCAGTGAAATTGAATCATGGCAGGTAGTGATTCTGACTATTCTTAGACATAACTTATCTCTAAAATGGGAATAATTTTACCTACATCAGAGAGTCACTGTTAGGGTTAAGTATGGATATGTAAGTGCCTCACATTTCGTCTAACATAAAATTAACTCAAGTGTTACTCAAATTCACATAATGAAAAAAACTGGTAAGTCACTGACCCAATACAACTACCAGTCATCTACTTACTAGCTACAACATTAAGTTATACCACAAATCTGCAATTTTTAGGTAGAAGATAAAGTGAGGTTTATACCAGAAGAAGTTATAAGAGCTGTATGAAAGCAGGAAATGATGGCTACTCCTAACTCAATCTTACTGACTATACAGGTTATTAAATGACACTTCTTTACTTTGGGATGTTAGAAATTTTAATTACTGCTTCCATGTGCAATGCTTATAAAAGTATTTTAAGGTTCAAAATGAAACATCTAATTACATAAAATTCTTCAGATCTCGTATTTCCTAAGGAAAACACATAAGCCAGCAAGAGACAGTACTATTATTATATTTAACAGGAGGGAATTCACAATGTGTACAGGTGCCAGTAAGATAAAAATAATTACCTTATTTCCATCTCCAGAACCATCTTTACTTATCCCATCTTTTGAGGCAAAATATGCTGGTGTTTCTGAAAAGGATCTAAGAGGAGTTCTTCGCAGAATCTGAGTTTCAAATGTCCCAAGCCTTCCTAAAACTGATATATGAATGCGACCACCAGAAATACCTGAAAATAAAAGGAAATCTAAGTCAAATATAGACATGCCTCAATAAATCTCCTGGAAACAAAAATTCCTTGAGCATAAAGGAGGTTGAAAAAAGCTATCACTTTAACAGCAGGAGTATAAACTGACAGAAAATAATGACACCAACAGAGGCAAAGCCCTCTCCAAAACAGGCTGGGCTTGGACCTCTGAAAGATTCTAGATAAAGATGTTTCTTTCTGTATGTGCCCTTTGGAAGTAAGGCAAGATCACCCATATTATAATATGTGGCTTTTCCAAAGTCTGAATGGAGCTCAACATCTGCCTCATCAGTAGGATTTTGAAAAAGGCCATGTATCCTCTATATTCTTATTACTGCTACCAATGAGAATAAACATCTGACAACAACGCCTGTCTGTTGTTACATAAGAATAATATCTGAGCCAGGCACAGTGGCTCACACTTGTAATCCTAGCATTCTGGGAGGCCGAGGTAGGCAGATCACTGGGGTCAGGAGTTTAAAACCAGCCTGGCCAAAATGGTGAAACCCCATCTCTAATGAAAATACAAAAAAATTAGCCAATAGTGGTAGTGGGCACCTGTAATCCCAGCTACTTGGGAGGCCAAGGTTGCAGTGAGCTGAGATCATGCCACCACGATCCAGCCTGAACAGCCTGTTCTGTGAACAACAGAACCAGACTCCATCTCAAAAAATAAATAAGTAAATAAGAATATCTGTAACAATGGAAAGAAACTTCAAATGTTCTTTTTTTTTTTTTTTAATTGAGATGGAGTTTCGCTCTTGTTACCCAGGCTAGAGTGCATCTCGGCTCACCGCAACCTCCGCCTCCTGGGTTCAGGCAATTCTCCTGCCTCAGGCTCCTGAGTAGCTGGGATTACAGGCACGTGCCACCATGCCCAGCTAATTTTTTGTATTTTTAGTAGAGATGGGGTTTCACCATGTTGACCAGGATGGTCTCGATCTCTTGACCTCGTGATCCACCCGCCTCGGTTAAGGCCAGGTGTGGTGGCTCATGCACTTTGTAATGCCAGCACTTTGGGAGGCTGAGGAGGGTGGATTTATCACTTGAGGTCAGGAGTTTGAGATCAGCCTAGCCAGCATGGTGAAGCCCTGTCTCTAGTAAAAATACATAAATTAGACCAAGCATGGTGGCTAACGCCTGTAATCCCAGCACTTTGGAAGGTCGAGGCGGGCGGATCATAAGGTCAGGAGTTTGAGACCAGCCTGGCTAACAAGGTGAAACCTTGTTTCTACTAAAGATACAAAAAATTAGCCAGGCATGGTGGCGTGGACCTGTAATCCCAGCTACTCAGGAGGCTGAGGCAGGAGAATCGATTGAACCCGGGAGGCAAAGGATGCAGTGAGCTGAGACTGTGTCATTGCACTCCGGTCTGGGCGACAGGGCGAAACTCTTGTCTCAAAGAAAAACCCAAAAAACAAAACAGAACAAAAATCAGCCAGGCATGGTGGTGGGCACCTGTAATCTCAACTACTTAGGAAATTGAGGCAGGAGAATGACTTAAAGCCAGGAGGTGGAGGTTGTAGTGAGCCAAGATTGTGCCATTGTACTCCAGTACAGGCAACAGAACAAGACTTCATCTCAAAAAAGAAAAACTTGAAGGAAAAACAAAATTATAAGCTCTTCATTAAAACATTTTTTTTTTCAGTTTTTAATTGAATTTTAGGTTTGGGGGTACATGTGAAGAACATGCAAGACTGTTGCATAGGTACACACGTGGCAGTGTGATTTGCTGCCTTTCCTCCCTTTCACCTATATCTGGCATTTCTCCCCATGCTATCTCTCCCCAATTCCCCACCCCCTGCTGTCCCTCCCCTATTTCCCCCAACAGACCCCAGTGTGTGATGCTCCCCTCCCTGTGTCCATGTGTTCTCGTTGTTCAACACCTGCCTATGAGTGAGAACATGCGGTGTTTGATTTTCTGTTCTCAACAAACTAAAACATGTTTTAATGAAATACTTCAATCCTACAGAAGAAAAAATTCAATAAATACCACATAATCACCATTCTGCTTTCAAACATGCTAACCTTTTGCCATATTTGACATTAATGTTCTTTTTTATGTTTTGAGAATCTCACTTTATCACACAGGCTAGTGTCTGGAATGATCATGCCTCACAGCTGCCTCAAACTCCTGGGCTCAAGTAATCCTTCATCTCAGCCTTCTAAAGAGCTGGAACTACAGGCACATGTCACCATGTAGGACTAATTTTTACATTTTTTGTAGAGATGGTGTCTACCCATTTTGGCCAGGCTGGTCTTCAATTCCTCGACTCAAGCTATCCTCTCACCTTGGCCTCCCAAAATACTCGGATTACAGACATGAGCCACCTCACCCAGCCTGTTAACATTCTTAAAAGGAATATATTGGTCGGGCGTGGGGGCTCACGTCTGTTATCCCAGCACTTTGGGAGGCTGGGCGGCCAAGGCATGCAGATCACCTGAGGTCATGAGTTCAAGACCAGCCTGAGCAACATAGAGAAACCCTGTCTCTACTAAAAATATAAAATTAGCCGGGCGTGGTGGCGCATGCCTATAATCCCAGCTACTTGGGAAGTTGAAGCAGGATAATCACTTGAACCCAGGAGGTGGAGGTTGAGGTGAGCTAAGATTGTGCCACTACACTCCAGCCTGGGCAACAAGAGCGAAACTCTATCTCAAAAAAAAAAAAAAAAAAAAAAGGGAATATGTGAATAACTGGTTAATGCTATAGATTGATCAGGAGTTAAACTTTTTCTATAAAGGATCAGAACAGTAAATATTTTCAGCTTTGTGGACCATGTAGTCTCAGTCCCAATTACTCTGCCATTATAGCAGGAAAGCAAACACAAAACAACATGTAAATAAGAGGGTGTTACCAAATTTGATCCATGGGGTCACTGCTGCCCCCTAATTTTCTCATGTAAATCCAAAATAAATACCTCCTAAAATTATAGTCAATGGCAAAAAAGGCCATATTACATACTGTGGGGGCCAGGCGTGGTGGCTCACGCCTGTAATCCCAGTACTTTGGGAGGCTGAAGTGGCTAGATCACCTGAGCTCAGGAGTTTGAGACCAGCCTAGGCAACGTGGCGAAACCCCATCTCTACTAAATATACAAAAAATTAGCTTAGCTAGGCACAGTGGCGCATGCCTGTAGTCCCAGCTACATGGGAACTGAGGCAGGAGAATCATTTGAACCCAGGAGGCAGAGGTTGCAGTGAGCCAAGATGGCATCACTGCACTCCAGCCTGGGCAACAGAGGAAGACTCTGTCTCAAAATAAATAAAGACAATGTCAATCACAAAGGTAGGGTTAGAAAAAATAATGAGAGGCCAGGTGCAGTGGCTCATGCTTGTAATCCCAGCACTTTGGGAGGCTGAGGTGGGTGGATCACAAGGTCAAGAGATCAAGACCATCCTGGCGAACATAGTGAAACCCTGTCCCTACTAAAAATGCAAAAATTAGCTGGGTGTGGTGGCGCACACCTGTAGTCCCAGTTACTCAGGAGGCTGAGGCAGGAGAATCACTTGAACCCAGGAGGTAGAGGCTGCAGTGAGCCGAGATCACCCCACTGCACTCCAGGCTGTTGACAGAGCAAGACTCTGTCTCAAAAAAAAAAAAAAAAAGAGGGAGTGACAGACACAATCAAATGACCATTCACCAATCATAAAGCTCTGCAGCAAACTAATTGGGGTTTCTAACATTTTTTGTGCCATGAACCCCTTGAGCAGTCTGGTGAAGCCTGTGAATAGATCTCTTCTCAGAATAATGTTTTTAAATGTATAAAATATATAACAAAATGAAAATATTTTTAAAATATGCCTCTTTATTAACAAGCAAAATTAAGTAAGATCTAACAGCTTTTTAAATAATCACTGTGATTTCAAAGTAGCAAAAAGTATGAACAATATTCTGAAATATTAGCAACTATAACGTGGTATGAAAATATTTCCTATTTTGATTGATGACAAATTCACAGACATTTCTAACATTACCGTGGATCTTTTGCCTACATTCATAGGCAAAGAAAATGATATGTTTCAGTTAGAGCTTAGTGAAAATAAAGTTCACAGAACCTCTGAATTCTATCCAAGGACCCTTTGGGGGCCTGCAAACCTCAGGTGAAGAACCTCTGAAAGCCAAAAAAGACAAGTATTTCTGTAAAGTATACGTCACTAGACTACTTGGCAGCAACTATAAAAGACAATTATAAGTTCCACTGTTTACAAAAATTTATCATATAGACAAAGCTTTCTAAGTTTCAGAACAGCTGTTTTTAAAAAGACTAGGCCGGGTGGGGTGGCTCACACCTGTAATCCCAGCACTTTGGGAGGCTGAGACAGGCAGAACTCCTGAGGTTCAGGAGTTCGAGAGCAGCCTGGCCAACATGGCGAAACCCTCACTCTACTAAATATATAAAAATTAGCTGGGCGTGGTGGCGGGTGCCTCTAATTTCAGCTGCTCCGGAGGCTGAGGCGGGAGAATCCCTTTAACCCAGGAAGGGGAGGTTGTAGTGAGCCAAGATGGTGCTACTGTACTCCAGCCTGGGCGACAGAGCAGATTCCATCAGAAAGAAAAGCAAAGGAAAAAAACGAAAAGAAACCAGTGGTTTTGAAAAGAAAAAAAGAAAACAAAAAACTGCTTACTTCTATGATTTAAAAGTTTTCACGGACTCTTGGACGGAACAGATCAAGAACACTTTCAAAGAGGCCTTCCCTGCCCAAAGAGCACACACACATACTCCATCCACCCACTGGAAACTGTATTATTCTTTGTCTGCTCCACTGGATTTAAACATGACGGTGAGGACTTAATCACCACTCTACCTCCAGCACTAAAATAAGGCCTGGCACACAGTGGGCCCTCAACAAATATTAATATATGTCAGATAAATGGATTTAAAATATGTCACCCTGGAATCCGGACATTTACTGGTTGAGGCTTAACAACGATTTAGGATTAAACTCACTCCCTTACATTTATGTATCATTTTACAAAATGCTTCTGCCCACATTACCTCATTCAATCCCTCCTGGTGCAGTAAATAAACTGAAGATATACAAACAATAAGAATTTTATAATTGACTTAAAAGTTAGATAAAGGGAGTCTTTAAAAAAAAATCCATCCAAGGGTCATAAACCGATAAGCCAAAATAAAAAGAATTTGTCTAGAAGTCAGCGATTAAAACAGGATCTATCTAGCCTCGTGGTCTGATATCCATAGATTTGAGGAAGAGAAAAACAGTTTCTTTTCCAGACCGTCTTGGCTGGGGAGCTGGCTTCGGATAAACAGAAAGGAGAGGTAAACAGACATGCGCCACTCTTAGGAAATTACCTCCGCTCAAGTTGGGAAAGCCAGCAAACGACTTGACGAAACACCCAAGGACTTCCAAACCAACTCCTGGGGGACTTCTCCCCATCTCTCCCGCCACTGTCCTGAGGGCCCCGAGGCTTGCCTGAAGCCAGGAAGTACTGTGAACCTGGTTTCTGTCCCAGTGTCTGGGCCGCACGGTGACATAATAACATCTCGGGTATCGCGCGGCTTGCGTCCGGGACTGCCGGCTGGGTGCCCCGAGACCTGGGGGACCCCAGCGGGGACAGCCCCTCAGCCGAGCCCCTCCCACAGCTCCCGACGGGCCCGAGATCCCGGCAGGCTGCGGAAGAAGGGCCACAGGTGGGGCAGGCGGCACAGTCCCCAGCAGGGCTGAGTGGGGCTGGAGACATTCAGGGTTTCTACGAAGTGGCCGCATTCCGGCCCCGAAGCCAGCAGGCCTGAAAACGCGCAGGCAGCTGCGTGGGAACGGGTTTACTTCCAATTTGAGCAACGGGGCTGCTCCAGAGGTTGGCAGAGCCCCATTCCACGCGGAAAGTGGTGGGTGCCTGGTGAAGCGCCGCGCATTCCCTCACAGCCCCCAGCAACAATAGGCCTCGTGCCCTCCCCGGGACCCCCACCCATCGGCCAGTCCAGGGGCCCCCACCCATCGGCCAGTCCACCCCCTTCTCCAGGGCTGAGGGCTCTGGAGTGGCACTATTTCGTTACCTCTCTGCGCGGAGGAGAGTGAGGAGGCGATGAGTCGGGCGGCGGAGGCTCCGCAGGTACAAGCGCCGCAGCTGGACATCTCCGCAGGGCCTAGGCCGGAGCTTCACCCTTGAGGACCTCCGGGTCTTAGCGGCGCAACTCCTGCTCCCAAGGCGCGCCGACTCCGTTCCCAATCCTCCGCGGGCCCTAGACCCCGTGCAGAGTTCACCTGCCCGGCAGCCAGGTCCTCGCGCTTCCGTGCCCCGCAGCCGTCTACTCACCACAGTAGACACCCAACCCCCCTTCCCTTCCCTTCCCCTCCTTCTCCCCCCCCCCCACTACCCGGCCCGGGGAGCGTGCGCGCGCCTGCGTCCTAGGCCCGGGGAGGGGGTGGAGGGCGTGGGCACGCGCCGCTAGTGCGTGCTGGCGAAGCAATGAGAGGCGAAGGCGAGGGGGCGGTGCCCTGGGTGCCAATGAGGGCACTACGGCAAGCGCCTAGCCCCAATTAGGGCGACTACAGGTCCCGACGCGGTAGGTTTCCAAAATCTCCTTTAGCCTAAACTTCAGAGGTTTTGAGATAGACGCCGAGAGATGCATGCCGGGACTTGTAGTCCGTAGTCGTCATAGTCAAGCTCTTCCGGTTATTTTCAGCTGGCGGTAGGCAAGGTCAAGGCGTGGCTGGTGGCTTAATCATCCACGAGGGAAGCCTCTAAAGTGCCTTGGTAGTCGCTAGATGCTTCAGAAATGTGGCTTCCAGCTCCCTGTGTCCAGCCGTGAGAAGGGGCATTGGCCTTGGCCCAGGCCACAATTTTTTCTTTCTCTCTTTGGAGAGATGACTGCTAGTACTCCCTCAGCGTAAACTGGAGTAGACCAGAAGAGAGCCCACTTCTTCCTTCACCAAGACTTTCGCCTTCCTCAGCTGAATCCATTAACAGAATTTTGAGAGAGGAGAGTCTCCAATGTTCCCTCAATCCAGTGTTTCAAACTGTGTTCCTAAAATTTCTCAGAAACTGTATCTTTGTAGTAGAATCAACCAGAGTAGCTCTGCCTTGATCTATTTCATTATTGGGGTTTTGTTTGAAAGTAGTTCTGCATTAAAACAAAAGTTTGAGAAGAGAAGATTAAAAAAAACAATGTTTGAGATTCATTGAGTCAAGGGCAAACCCCTTCTTTTGGAAATGAACTGAGGGCCCCTAACACCCAATTTAAATTCTTTTCATCCACCCCCACCTTATTTTTCAATTGTGTCACATTTTCTTCTCATTATAAAAATAAAGAAGAGGCTGGGCGCGGTGGCTCACGCCTGTAACCCCAGCACTTTGGGAGGCCGAGGCGGGTGAATCACGAGGTCAAGAGATCGAGACCACCCTGGTCAACATGGTGAATCCCCGTCTCTACTAAAAATACAAAAAATTAGCTGGGCATGGTGGCGCGTGCCTGTAATCCCAGTTACTCAGGAGGCTGAGGCAGGAGAATTGCCTGAACCCAGGAGGTGGAGGTTGCGATGAGCTGAGTGAGATCGCGCCATTGCACTCCAGCCTGGGTAGCGAGCAAAACTCCGTCTCAAGCAAAAAAAAATAAAGAAGAGATTGTTTGCTAAAACCTATAGATTGCTATAAGCAAGAGTATGAGTGTTGCTAAATCAAGGCTCAGGCTAGGGGAACCACTCCAGTAAGCCTCCCTCTTCCCTGTCTATTCTAGGGATTGACCTTGCATTCAGTCAGTCAACAAATATTTATTAACCACCGGTTACAAGCCACACACTTGGGAAATAGCACTGAATTTTTAAAAATGTTCCTCCTCTTGCAGGGCGCAGTGGCTCATGCCTCTAATCCCAGCACTTTGGGAGGCTAAAATGGGCAGACCATGAGGTCGGGAGTTCGAGACCAGACTGACCAACATGGTGAAACCCCATCTCTACTAAAAATATATACATTAGCCAGGCATGGTGACATGCACCTGTAATCTCAGCTACTCAGGAGCCTGAGGCAAGAGAATTGCTTGAACTTGGGTGGTAGAGGTTGCAGTGAGCCGAGATCATGCCATTGCACTTGAACCTGTGCAACAAGGGCAAAACTCTATCTGAAAAATAAAAAATGTTCCTCCTCTCATGGAACTTCCATTCTAGTGCAGAAAGATAAGACAGTAAATAAAATATACCGGTGGTATGATGACGTGGGAATATCCTTATGTTGTTGTGTAACATATTCTTATATTATTTCCAGAATGACTGACTATTTAATTTTATTTACAGGTTGATGTGTGTTTAGCCTTGTGTTCCCAACTGGACTATGAGCTCTTTGACGCAGGTACTTATTATATACTTGTGGCCAGACGCAGTGGCTCATGCCTGTAATCCTAGCACTTTGGGAGGCCAAGGTGGGTAGATCACTTGAGGTCAGGAGTTTGAGACCAGCCTGGCCAACATGATGAAACTCTGCCTCTGCTAAAAATACAAAAATTAGCTGGGCTGGCAGCGGGCACCTGTTATCCCAGCTACCGAGGCAGGAGAATCACCTGAACCCAGGAGGCAGAGGTTGCAGTGAGCCAAGATTGCACCGCTGCACTCCAGGCTGGGTGACAGAGGGAGTCTACATCTCAAAAAAAAAAAAAAAATATATATATATATATATATATATACACACACATGTATATGTACTTGGGCTGAATCCATAGTAGAAATTTAGTAAATACTTGGTTAAGTACTTATCTTCCAACGATATGTTTGCTTGCCAGAATCATAGGATGGTGTCTTCATAAAATACAACATGGCCAGGTGTGATGGCTTACGCCTGTAATCCCAGCACTTTGGGAGGCCAAGGCGGGCAGGTAACCTGAGGTCAGGAGTTCAAGTCCAGCCTGGCCAACATGGTGAAACCCTGTCTCTACTAAAAATGCAAAAATTAGCCAAGTGTGGTGGTGAGCGCCTATAATCCCAACTACTTGCTTGAACCTGCGAGGCCGAGGTTGCAGTGAGCCAAGATTGCACCACTGTACTCCAGCCTGGGTGACAGAGTGAGACTCTGGTCCAAAAATTAAATAAAATCCAATACATAAATAAGCAAATTACAATGGACAAAGAGGTGAGTGTTAATAGAGTGTTAATAGACATAAGTTCTACAAATGTAATTGATAGACAAATGATGAATCTGACTTACTGAGCGTCCCAGAAGGAATTCTCAGAGATTGCCTGATTAGCAGTGTATAGACTTTGCCCCAGAAAGTACAAAACAGAGGGAGCTGTACACAACTTAGTTTAACTTTTTCTCAAAAATGTGAACAAAGGTCATGTAGCTTTGGTATGAGGCTGGTGATGGTTTTATCACACAGGCAGCACAAATTTGGTAGTTACAATGCATTCCCCTAAAACTATCCTCTGCAGGTCAGAATTTACCTAGATTATTGGGATCAGCACCCGATAAGCATGAATTGGGACACTAACTGTGGTAGGCTCTTCGATGTTATAAGTCTTTGTATTTTTAGTATAGACAGGGTTTCACCATTTTGGCCAGGCTGGTCTTGAACTCCTGACATTTGTGATCTGCCTGCTTTGGCCTCCCAAAGTGTTGGGATTATAGGCGTGAGCCACCCTTCCCAGCCCGGGAATCTATTTTTATTGCTAGAATGTAGAATTAGGAGATGCTAAGGTTTATTTGCAGGAATGATGTGTTTCCACTGTGAAGTCTGGGCCTTTATTTCTCAAGGTCTGTCTTTTTTTTTTTGAGACAGAGTTTCGCTCTTGTTACCCAGGCTGGAGTGCAATGGCGCGATCTCGGCTCACCGCAACCTCCGCCTCCTGGGTTCAAGCAGTTCTCCTGCCTCAGCCTCCCGAGTAGCTGGGACTACAGGCCTGCGCCACCATGCCCAGCTAATTTTTGTATTTTTAGTAAAGACGGGGTTTCACCATGTTGACCAGGATGGTCTCTTATCTCTTGACCTCGTGATCCACCTGCCTTGGCCTCCCAAAGTGCTGGGATTATAGGCGTGAGCCACTGCGCCCGACCTTTTCAAGGTCTCTTTTTTAACACTCCCTCCAACTGCTGCCACTTTCTTCCTCAGGAGGTCACTGCCCAACCTTGGTATTGTGGGGTGACCAAGAGGACTCCAGCGAGGTGCTCTTCATCCTCCTGAGCCTGTCCTTGGGGGCTGGAGGTAACCTTAGATAGCATGAGGTTCCTCTTGTCCTAAATTAGACTCCCCCTTGTCCCTCATCCTGATGTTCAGGAAGATGGTCAGCAGATGGCACTAAGTTACCAGCTTTCCTTCTTTGAATCCTGCAGGAGCACTCTTAAAACTAATGCAGTGGAACTTTCAGTGTATCAAATCTCAGTGCTAGGGAAATCTTGTTTGTATTTTCTTTTTTTTTTGAGACGGAGTTTCGCTCTTGTTTACCCAGGCTGGAGTGCAATGGCGTGATCTCGGCTCACTGCAACCTCTGCCTCCTGGGTTCAGGCAATTCTCCTACCTCAGCCTCCTGAGTAGCTGGGATTACAGGCACGCGCCACCATGCCCAGCTAATTTTTTGTATTTTTAGTAGAGACGGGGATTCACCTTGTTGACCAGGATGGTCTCGATCTCTTGACCTCATGATCCACCCGCCTCAGCCTCCCAAAATGCTGGGATTACAGGCATGAGCCACCGTGCCCAGCCTATTTTCTATCTTTCTCTTTCTCGCTTTCTTTCTTTTTTTTCGAGGGATTTTCACTCTTGTTGCCCAGGCTGGAGTGTGATGGCACTATCTCAGCTCACTGCAATCTCCGCCGCCTGGGTTCAAGTGATTCTTCTGCTGCAGCCTCCTGAGTAGCTGGATTACAGGCATGTACCATCATGCCCGGCTAATTTTGTATTTTTAGGAGCGATGGGGTTTCTCCATGTTGGTCAGGCTGGTCTCAAACTCCTGACCTCAGGTGATCTGCCTGCCTCGGCCTCCCAAAGTGCTGGGATTACCAGCCTGAGCCACTGTGCCTGGCCCTCGTTTGTATTTTCTTAAGGGCACAGATGTCAGGAGAAGAAGGACTGGTTTGTGAATCCCATCTGAGTCACTCACCAGCCATGTGACTTCTGGTAAGTAAGTTAATTCCATAAGCCTATTTTTTTCAACTTTAAATTGGGGTGTTTTTGACCTCCTAGAATTAATGTGAAGAATAAATTACTCCTTAGCACTTACTATAGCAAGTAGGTGCTTACTAAGTAATAAAGAGCTTTTCCTGTGTAGTGTTGTGAATTATGGCTTTCCCTTTAGACCTTTAAAAAAATACCTTTAAATTAAAAAAAGATAAGAAACAATATGAGTTGCATACAAAATAAATAAAAATAAAAAATGTCTTTTTTGGTCAAGCTTCTTAGCCAGGTTGTTGAGGATCTTCCCCTATGCACAAGACTTTAGCATTGTGAGGAACTTGCTTAA